GCACCCGAACCGTCACATCCTTGGAATCATGGCTCATCCTTACTCTCACATTCACTTCCTCGTCGCCCCCCTCCTCTTCCTCAACCTCAGCACCCACCCCCTCCTCCTCATCGTCATCCTCTTCAACCACTCCCTCAGGCTCGACAACCACCCACTCGGGAACCTTGTACTGCACGCCGGTGGCATCAAAAACCCCGCGCCATACTAATCCCGACGGACACGTGCACCCCGTCACATCCAGCATCGTTTGCGCCTCTTGTAGCTCACCAGCCTGCAGGTGCTGCGCCGCCAGACGAATAGCGCCCCATATCTCAGGCGACCCCGTGACCTGCGTATCCCACCAGTCCTGACGCTCTTTCTCCAGGCGCGCGCGCGTCCACTTGAGCGCCGTGGGATCTGTCAGCGGCTTGACGCGGGAGCTGGGCTTCGTGGTTGCGGCAGCGGCAGCGAGGGTGTTGGGAAGACGAGAGCGTTGGAAGGGCTGAATGGGTTTCAGCGGGATGTTTGGGCGCTCGATGGCCTGCACTGGAGGCGGAGAGGAAGAAGAGGAAAGAAGCGCATGGTTGCCGTGTGAGATATGCGATGCGCGCGGCGAAGTGGACGGACTGCGTTGTGTCGAGGGTGCAGTAATGTTGTGGCGCGACGACGACGAATGCGCTCGCGCGGCACCTGGTGCTTCGTCGGTCTGACGAGATGCGCAACAGCCCTAGATGCAAGGAAAAAACACGCTCGTCTTAGACTTGGTATTCATGGTAATGTTTGCGTGACTCGCTAGGCGACTAAGGAAGGTTTTCGTACCATGTTGGAATTAGGTGCCCGTTGCTACCCCTCAATCTTTGCCTGAACAGGCAGTCATTCGGGTCATCTAGCAGAAAGTTTGGAGATATCGTTCTAGCGATATGATTGGCGTGTGTAGATGTGCTTGCAACAATTGCATGCGCATATTGGCTCTCGGATGGAGAGGGTAGGAAAGTTGGAAGGGCCGGGGCTGTGGCGAGGCTACTCCTGTATCGGGGGCGGCATGGAGATATCGATCGATGGACGCAATCCTTTGGACCAAGGCTGGACGATGTCACGGTCCTTGTACCCTTTGCCCCGTGACTCCAACCTTGAACCGGCTATCCCAGGCTTGCTGTGTGTGCATGCCTAAGGGACGGCCCAGGCCGGTCAAATTGGTCTCGTGTACACGGACTGTCTGCATTCAGACTCTTGATGCATTGTCGATCGACGTACGCAGTCATCCGTCGCTGCACAGCCTGCCGGCATGTACCGCGCCATCACCACCAATTCGTCACTAGGCCAAGCATCACGACATAAAAAAATCAAGGATTTCAGAGCAAACGACAGTGTATTAGAGATTATTACGTCGATGTGTGCCCTAGTGGCCGCTTGTGTACACCTAACAAGGCTGTACGCAGAGGGTATCCGGGGTATTGCGCGATAAAACAAGTTGCGACCAAAACAGCCAATGGTATCAAAAAGGAGAGAAACAGGTGCAGTGGTATCAGTCTAAACAAGCAGTGGGCATGAAGCAAAGAACAGCCAAAAATGGACGCCTCCAACATGTCAATGCCACACAGATGGTGATCCACGCGGAAAGAGTGACGAGGAGTTGGTCCAGATGCAAGGAAACGTCGAACAGAGTCAAGGAAAGTTTGGTCCAAAATGCTACGCCTCGAATCTAGTAAAAGACACAAGGCACATTTGGATGGGTATCGGGTTGGCCGTACGGTCAAACAAGGGATTTACGGTGTCTTTGCTTTTCCGTCATTCCGTCGTGGCTGTCGTTGCAGAGGCTGACATCTTCCCACCAGACCTTACGCAGTTGTAGCGACAGTCGGGTTGGCGCTTTTCGAAGCATCGCCCACACTGTTCTCAGCGGGGACTTCAGCGACGGGGGCAACGGGAGCGGCAGCCTCCTCCTCCTTCTTCTCCTCAGCGACGGGAACGGCAGCGGGAGCGGTCTCCTCCTCGACAACCGGGGCGGGGGCGGCAGCGGCCTCTTTCTTCTCCTTGTTGGCCTGACTCTTGTTGCCAGTGGCCTTGCTCAGCGAACGACCAAGGTTGCCGAAGAAGGACTTCCTCTTGTCCTGCTTGGGCTCCTCAGTGGTCTCTGGCTTAGCCTCAGTGGTGGCGGGGGTGGCCTCAACAGCCTCGGTAGCGGCGGGGGCTGAAGCATCCTCGATTTGAGGAGCGGCATCGGCCTTGGGCTCAGGAAGCTTCTCCTGGGCGGCGGGTGACTTGGCGCGGTCCTTGTTGCCAAAGAGCTTGCCGAAGCTGAAGTGCTCCTTCTCCTTGGATGGGGTGCTGGTTGCAACGACGGGCTTGGTCTCGTCCTTGTTCAGCTCAGCAGCGGCAGCCTCGTTGGCAGAGGGAGCAGCAACGGGAGCAGTCTCCTCGACGGGCTTGACGGGCTCAGCGACGGTCTCGTTCTCCTTGACAGGAGTGGCAGCAAGACCAGCCTCGGCCTCCCTCTTCTCAGTGGTGGGCGACTTGAGCTTCTCGACAAAGGTGCCGAAGATGGAAGCACGCTTGGTGGGCTTGGGCTTCTCGGGGGCAGCAGCGGCGGCAACAGCGGGCTCCTCAGCTTTGGGAGCCTCCTCGATGGGAACAGCCGCTACGGGGGCAGCGGGCTCAGCAGTGGTCTCGGCGGGCTTGACAACATCGTTGGCGTCGACGGGAGCAGTGGTGGGGACTAGACATTGTTAGTCAAAAATCACATGCAGTGGTGTTCAATTCAACTCACTCTCATCGAGGTGAGGAGCAGTGGCAGCGGGCTCTTCAGCCTTGGTCTCTGGCTCCTCCTTGACGGCCTCGCTCTCAGTCTTGGGCTCCTTGTCCTTCTTTCCGAGGAGTCCGCCGAGGAGGCTGGCGCGCTTGCCACGAGAAACAGAGCGAGACTTGCTCTTGGCCTTCTTTGCCTTGGCATCATCAGAAGATGAGCTGGAGGAAGATCCAGTGCGAGCTGGGGCAGCGGCGGGCTCAGAAGCCTCGCCCTCAGCGAGCTTGGGAGCAACGTCCATGCTCTTCTTGGGAGCGGCGGTAGCGCCCGCTAGCGCGGTGGGCTTGCCTGCGCGTTGTTAGTGTTCTGCAGGTCGAACGGCTAGATCGCCCACTAGCGGCCTCACATCACGAAGGATGCGAGGCACGACTCATTTACGTACCAATCTTCTCCTTTGCCTCCTTGTAGCTCTCGCTGGACTCGATGGTGTCCTTGGAGGCCTTGGCCTCGGTGATGGCCTTCTCAACGGCGACAAACCATCCGTCGCGCTCGGCAGTGGTCGAAGCCTCAAAGGCGTGCTTGTGGCCAGAGAGCTTGAATGCGAAAGCAAGAGCACCGTCCTTGGCGAGATCAGTGGCGTAGGCCTGTTCACGTGTTAGTGGGGAGTGCATCGGCGAATTTGTTCAGGGCGGGAGCGTACCAAGTTCAGGACACCAGCGGGCTGGTCCTTCTTGTCGGCGTGCTTGACGAAGAAAAGGAGACCCTTTCCAGTCTGGCTAGACCAGGCAACGGTGGGGTGAGCAACCTCGGGCTTCTCACCACGGAGGTACTCGCCCAGGCTCTCAGCGGCGACGGGCTCCTCGCCGAACCAGAAGAACTTCTTAGCAAAGCGGAAGGCGCTGTTGGTGGTGGTCAGTACAATGTTTGTCAACAGAAGATGCACACGAGCACACTTACTTCTTCAGGCCAGGGGCCTTGTAGCCGAGAGCACCGCTGTAGATGGGCTCGACAACCTTCTCCTCCTTTGGCTCCTCCTTGACAGCCTCGTCGGCCTTGGTCTCCTCAGCGGCGGCAACAGGCTCCTCCTTGGGTGCCTCCTCAGTCTTGGGCTCTGTGACGGGGGCGACAGTGTTGTCGGCGGCCAGGACTGGGGCGGGGGCAGCCTCAGTGGTGCCGACAACCTCTGGCTGGTCGACGGTCTTTGGTGCTTCGACTGGGGCAGACATGGTTGTGGGGGGGTTTGCGTGGGCGAAGAAAAAAAGTGTGGGTGAAGGGGTATCTGGGCGAAGAAGAGGGGCTTTGGGGGTTTGTGTATTACAAAGGGAGTACAGAAAGGGAAAGTTCCAGGCTCGCAAGGTGCAGCGGCAAACAAGCAAGTTGGAACCTCGTGAGGCAAGGGAGCGAACAGCGGTGTAGGGAGGGAAGAAGGATAGGAAAAACGTCGAGCAGTGATGGGGTGGGAGAACTTTAATGTGAAGGGCGGTGTTGCTAGGTAGGGGTCATGGTGCAGGGGGGCAAGCAACGAAATTGGTCTTCGCGGCAGCACGTCCACTAGGCGGACCCGCCTGCAACTAGCCTGTCCGAATAGCACCCTTTGCCATGTTATGCAATGCTCACGCCCTGAAACACTATACTGTGCACGCCGACATTGTCTTTTTTGGCGCCGATGGGTGGGCGAGGCAGATGTCTAGCGACTACTTTAGTTGGAGGCAGCAGTGGCAGTTGGCGGCGGGCGGGCAGGGCAGACACGGGGCGGCAGGTTGCGCGATGGTGATGGCGAGGGGCATGGCAAGTGTTGGGCAAAGGGTGGGAGGGTGGTCACGTATCGGATAAGGTTGGGTAGCCGGGTAGCCAAACAACATGGGCGTAGCCAGGTCGCATGATCGCGCTGCCCCTCTTCCACCAGCTTGTTTGAAGCCATGAGCCAACCGCCGTTGATCCAGACGCCTTTTTTGCATGGCTCACGAGACATGCGTTAGCCTGCAGACGTGATATCATGGCATCGCCTCAGAGTGGCCGCCCACCCAAGGCCCGGCACCTCCGCGTATATGCTATGTGTGTGTGTGGATGGATGGATGGAGGATGGATGGATGGATGATGGATGTACATGGATACATACATGTGAACGTATCGAGATACATACATACTGCATGTATTGTATGTGTTGTGTGTACAGAGTACTATGTAGACACACACATGTACTATGACCATGTCAAGGTGCGTACATGCTTACATACTACTACACGGTACGTGAGTAGTATGTACATGCAGTACTCACATGGCACCACGTGCAACACCATCATCATCATCATCACCACCACCACCACCACCACCACCTCCGCCATGGCCAGGCAGGTCTGCACAACTCGAGTCGAACCTTGACGCGCCATTGCCAAGGCCCGTCTTACATGTGTACACAGCACATCCACGGCGAGGCACTTCTAGCGGCCCTGCATGCACAACGAATCGCCAGTCTGCCGCTCTCGCTCTCGGCCCAAGCGCTGATCCCCGTTTACAAAAAGCCCATCAACCAACCCTGGCCATCAAATTGGCTGCTCTCGACACCTGGCAAATGCAGCCAATGCAGCCGAACAGCACGACGAGGCTACTTGGTGCCGCCGCGAACTCATCTTCACTTCTGCCTCCCACGAACGGCCCCTCTGACACTGACATGCACATGGACCCCCCGCCCTGCCTGCCCGCCTGTCGTCAAGTCACGTCAACCCACGCACCGGCAAACGGCACGCCACCATTGGCCCTCCAACGCCCAAAAGCCGCCAAATTTGCCCATCGTACTTGAGATTTGCCCTGATTCAGGTCCCCGCACAGGAGCGGGTGGAGTGGGAAAATTGCTGCAAAAATCTCGTCTGACTCTTACCCACAAAACACAGGTCCCCCCTCCCTCTGATCAGCCCAAAACACCTGGCCCATGTGAACTAGGGCCACTGTCCGGCTTATTGCGACCCATCCTCCCCCCTCACGTCAAAGGGGGGAGGGCAAAGGGAAACTCCTACCGTGCAAAAACCATCTTCCAGCCTGAGCATCCCCAATCGGACATTTGCCTGACATGTGCCAAAACCATATCCCATCTATCACTCCAATCAAATGCCCACCCTACATGAGACACCGCTACAGAAGCCGTCCATTGTGCATATCAGCCCGCCCGTTTAGGTTGATCTGCACATAGCCTCCTTTCATCTTGCGGCTGATTTTTCACTCCCAACCTCTCTCTGGGTGTGTGTGCCTCTCTGTTGTGTGCTCCGCTGCCGCTTGCTACATACTCATCCCGTATCCGCGGCACGCACGCACAGAGCCAGCCACTCCCACTCCACAATGGCAGATCTTCCAGAAGCCAATAATCTCTCTATAGTGCCGCGACGTCGTCGACATGGACCGACGCACGCACCCACCCTGTTATTTCCCGCCTATGTGACTGGCTCCCTCCCCTAACCCTCATTACCCCCCTCCCCTCACCGCCACAGCTAGGAAAAATGGGCAATCAATGTCGGACGCGCAAGAAAACTTTGGCGACAAGATGCAACGGGTGTATCCTGAGGGCCTGTGCATCCAGAGCGGCTCTGTGTTCAATCCCCACCCTCTTTTGGCTCAAAGGCTAATACTTGACTATGACTGATGCCGCCGCCCCTGTACATGAAAATGCATGGACATCTCATCTCCTGGCTACGAGCTGCGAACCACGTATATAGCCCATGGCAACGACATGCCTCTTGTCTCTTTCGTAACGGGCGCTCCTCTCCTTTTGCTTTTTCTTGACTGCACACCACGTATTACCGCGCAAGCTAGACGTTGACGTTTCAGCATTCCCCACACCCTGCAATCCCTCTTTCCTTCCTTTTGGCGCTCCTCTCCCCACACATAATCACCACCATCACACCAGCCTCGCATCACGTCTCTAGCACCGCTACACCAACGCACGCCGTCCCAACGATTTGGAAACCGACAATAACGCCACAGTAGCCTCTCTTGCTTAGGCCGGCGTACGTGCGCCCCGTCGCAATGGTGCCGCAGGGCGAACAAAAGAGCCGCATGCCAAAATGTTGACTTGCACGATGGTGGAGCCGATGCGTCCCTGACTAACAAACGCTACTTACCTACTCTGGTCTTTTTGGCTGCTAATACGCACGTGCGCGCCCTGCACTAGCACTCGATTCGACCAGACTCGCTACAATGCCAATAGTGAACTATGGCGTAGCGCTGTGCTTGTACCCCTTTCTTTCAACGGAAAAGGGCCACCTGCCACATGTGATTGTACGTACATATGTGTGCCCATTTCCCAGCCTCCTAAATCCAGCAACAACATGTGATGACGCCCAGTGAACACTAGGTTTTCTTTTTCTGCAGTAGACGTGCGAAATAAACGTTATAGGATGTAGTGTGAAACGTCCACACTACCTAAACGGGTTTGTACATACCCTTGCTTTTTAGGTCGTGTTGCTTGCTGGCTCCTTCCCCTACTGACACGCAATGACATCAACCCCAGTCATTCGTGGATACAACGTCTTGGGTAGACGCTCGCTCTACTACATTTACTCTACTGCATGCGAACCACCAAAAGTAAGAGGAGAAATATAGAGCAAAATGATAGGAAAAGAAGAGTCCGACATATCATCGCTACATAATACAAAGAGGAAAGCAGCATTAGTCGTCCATCTTCAATTCCCATGCCTCAATGGCTCCTTCCCAACTCACTCCTTCCTATCGTCATCTCTCCCCTCAACCTGCACTGCATCCTTCTTTTCAGCAGCTCTCTCTTCCATCCCGTTACTCCGTCTGCGTCGTCCATCAACATGTCCCACCATACGCTTCTCACCCGTCAAAGCATCATCACCACGACCCGCTTCCCGAGCACGTTGTAGCTGACCCTCTTCACGCTGCTTCTGTTTGCGCAACCGTGCCTTCTCCGCACCTTGTTGAACAACCACCTGTTTCTTATCCTCGATAACGATGTCTTTTCTCGTGCTGCCAGGCACCACAATCTGCCCTGCTGTTCTAGAGCCAAGCTCAATTTTCTTATATCTCACACTCCACTCACACACGCCTTCGGGCGCTCCAAACCCATCTATCCGTACATCTAGCGTCGGGAACCCCACCAGCGTCTCCAACCCAGTCTCGTGGTCCTTTCGGAACACAGCCGGCAGGGTATAGCGCACGTCAGATGGCCGGAGCAAGTCCAAGGCTGCCAAGATGAAGCGGTACGGGCGCGCACGGGTTACATCCAGCATGTCGGCTCTATTCTGCTGGTATGTGGGTAAGAGGTGAGCATCGGCCTTGTTAAAAATCCGAATAATAAGCCTGTCCCTGGGAAGAAGGTTGTGGAACCGGATCCAATAACGGCCGTCAAAGAGGCGGAATGGCTCGCTCCGAGAGGGGCGGGAGTTTGAAGACGGGGGATAAACGAGATAATTTGCAGCATCTTTCCTCTCGTTCGTGTCAAGAGGCTGCCGCGTGAGGAGCCATTCTCGCGGATGCGGCAACGATAGATCAATACCGTGTTCGTCATGCTCAGGAAAGGGAGTCCGCTGATCCCAGAACCGCCACCATACACTAAAGACACAGTAGTTCTTCTTACGAACTCCATCCCAGTGACCCACATCGTCATCTTCCAACTCCTCAAGCTCTGGGTAGATGCGATGTATAGTCGCCGCAAGCTGGCCGAGAGGCGCCTTGGCTCGTGGCGTAACCAATTCGGCGACCCGTTCCAAGAGGCCGTAGGCCGTATTCTTTGCCTCTATTTTGTCGGCAATCGTCTCAATTGGGCGCGGAAGGAGATCTGGGAAGGGTGGAAATCGGACAACCAAACAGCCTGTTTGAATGTCGAGTTTTATTAGGCATTTCTCAAAGAGCTCCTTTGCAAAATCCTTGTGTTTCTTGACACGCTCTTGCATATGCAACGACACGTCAACCAACGATCTGACGCTTAGTGCCTCTGGAAGTTTGTGGTTCTTGTAGATATGACGTATAGCGTTGCGAGACGTCAACGTCTGTATCTGGTTCGTCTTGTCTTCTGCCCAAGCAACGCCCTTCTCTTCGCATGTCGCAATAAGTCGTGCCTTTTCAAAATCAAGGAGTGGCCGCAAAATCTTTATGCCTCCCTGCTCAATGGGGAATGGGATGTTCAGACTGGGACGGGGCTTCAGTGGATTGCCACTATGGTACACCCCGTAAATGCCCTCGCACTCGGGTATCCATTCTTCGCGCTGCATAGCCTGGAGTCCCGATCGGAGCCTGTGATTTGCCATTCTCATCATGACTGTCTCGGCTTGGTCGTCAGCATGATGCGCCACCATCAGGCGGTTAATTTTCATGTCCCTGCATGCTCGACCGAGCGCCTGGTAACGTAGTATGCGTGCTTCCGTCTCAAACCGCTTGCCATCATGGGGATCAAAGTCTATGGGCCATGTGAGGGGAATTACAGTGGATTCGATACCAACTTGGTCAAGTCAGTACTTGCAGAATAGAGGAATGATGTGTGCCTACGCTTGGAGCGCAATTGCTCTGCCACCCAGCTGGCTTCTTCTGTGCTCTCCGGGCGCACTTTGTGATCTACGATGAAACCATGGGCTTTGGGCAATTCTGAGTCTTCTTCTTGGAAGTCTTTGTACAGAGCAGCTAATGCCATTGAATCCACCCCACCGCTTATGGCAATGCCTGTATCAGATGGTCAGCCAGACATATTGTGAACTACTTCCCACCATACCCACCCAAAGCCTGCCTGCTTGACCAAACATCCTGCGCACTATGCAAAGAATTCCAGTCTAGAGCCCGCCTGAACTCATCTTTTGTAACTGGCAAACCCTTTACAGAGCTGTACCGTCGCAACGTCCTCACCCCATAATTGACTGACGCAATAGAGGAACAATTCCTCAATCCGAGGACATTGCTTCTCCACATAAAGGCACCAAGTACCCACGTTCGTCGCGACAGCCGGCAGACAAACAAAATAATGTAGCGCGCGTAAAGGCACAAGAAACAATTACTGATTCTGGTAATGCGCGAGATGGATGTGTTTCCGCAGGTGATTCCGAGGTACTACGGTGCACGGACATGGAATTTTCTGGAAAGGCAAAAGCACAACATCCTCCAGTCTCTCTCTCTACAAACATCCTCCCAAACGGACCTCAATCTCTCCTTCTCCCCCCCGCTACAAAACCCGCCGTTTCAAGCTTCCCATAATACCCAATTCCCACCTACCTTTCTTCCAACCGGCCAAAATGGTAAGTCCCGGACGCCTATACCACCTGCCCGCACCACCCACCTCTACCTCAAGAATCATTTTTTTTTGCTAACAATGTCTTGCTATAACAGTCCACCATCAAGTCTATCCGCAGCATTGCACCCCTCCTCGACCGCATCCTTGTGCAGCGCATCAAGCCCGAAGCCAAGACTGCAACTGGCATCTTCCTCCCCGAGACGGCCGTCAAGGACCTCAACGAAGCAAAAGTCATTGCCGTCGGCCCCGGCGCCTTCGACAAGGACGGAAAGCGCGTCACACCCAGCGTGCAGCCCGGCGACAAGGTTTTGATCCCGCAATTCGGCGGTAGCCCAATCAAGGTTGGCGAGGAGGAATTGAGCTTGTTCAGAGACCATGAGTAAGTTTTTCTTTGCGCCCTTGTTGGAGGTGGTTGGGGGAGCATATTCCAAGGGAAGATGAGGAAAATACAGAGCTAACGTGTGACTTTTTTTTGCAGGCTGCTGGCTAAGATCAACGAGTAAATGGAAAGAGACTCTTGTGTAGCATAGCGAGTGGCTTCGCATGAATTCCACTTGTACAACTTTTTT